GGGGGGGGACGAGGCAAAAAGGAATTAGAGTAGGTCGAAGGGTGAGCAGGGATGAAAGGGAAGAAGAGGTGATACAGTGACAGTTGGGCATGGGGATGGGGTGTCGCTTAATGGAGTGTCTCGGTAGAATGTGGAGTCATGTTCCTTTGTGATTGCGTGCATTGAGGCGTGTGATTGACTGCATCAAGATGGCGAGAAAGGTGTGATGATTGGGGGGAGGCGGAAAGGAGGAAGAGTGTGTATGTGTGTGTGTGTGTGGGTGAGAGAGAGAGAGAGAGAGAGAGAGAGAGAGAGAGAGAGAGAGAGAGGTGGGAGGTGTGTATTGGGACATACTTGAATCATCGAATTGGGGATTAGCATCGAAAGTGACGAAGAAGATTTTTYGTGCCTTCTATTCTACAGGCGATGGTCATATTCCAGCTGGCACTGGGAGGGGGGGAGGTGCCGTTCGGTAGAGACATCCTGTGTGTTGTTCTTACTGAATACGGATGGCGAGGTTGCCCCTTGATTCTGAGAATACCTTCAAAGTCCTTGTGACTATTCTGCGAATATCTTGAAGCAGGCTGTCTTGCGGCGTTCACTACCTTGTATGTCAACGTTGTCAAATCGCAGTACCGGTGTTGTCTCGCAACGTTTCGTGGATGTAGACTTTGGTCGCTCATACTTTGCAATCGTTTGCGGAATCAACTTGCTTGCAGAGAGAGTTCATGTTGATTCGTTGATCGGACAGGGACAGGCGCGTACTGTTGGAGTTTTGCTTAGCAAAGTTCGCATTCATTCAGCTTCAGACTCAGGTCAGATCTGTCTATGCCTCTACGTATTGCGTAAATGTGTTGGAGGATCCCGGAGTGTGGATTGCTTGGTCGTTTTGGCGGCGTTCGCGCTCTTTGAGTGGAATGAGAGGTGATCGGTTCAACCCTCAGACAGAGCAGATCATTTATGTGTCAAATCTATCATCATCATCATCCATGTGATACCGTAGGAAAAAATGTAGTGGTTTGACTCTCTCTTCCATTTGCCTTTGTTTATCAAAAATTGCCTTTGCTTATTACTATTCTTATCCTTGTATACCTGATCTACATGCAGTTTGTGTAAACTTTGTTTGTGCAAAATAAACACTGCGATACTTTGGCTCTTTGACCCAATTTATTTTTTTCCCAGTGCTGTGCACAGAATGATGAAGAAATCTATGCATTGAATCTTTCGGTGTATAAGCTGCGCGATGTTGGAGTCAGGACTCAGGATGGAGCATGCGGCATTTACGCAACGAGTAAACCCCCTTGTTCGATAAACTTCCCGGAACCCGCTCCAATTAATTTTGAACTTTCAAATCTACGTAGGCCCACTCTGCTCTGCTGGCGATCCGCGCTCGCAAGAGCGTCTTCTTTTATTTGATTTTCCTTCAGACTCTCATCTCACAGCGCACCGCAAAAGAGTGGATCGATGGCAGAAATAGCTTAATGGTAGACTATGTATGTCCTTAGGCTAACGTCAAGGGTTCAGATCCAGTTTTCCGCTTGTCAGCTTCGCTGCCAGCCCAAGAAAAGAATGTTAACCACCCAGGTCCTTAACCCATCACCACCCCGACCAGACAGCAGTTGCTTGGGTGCTACCGCGTCTTGGTCTTGGATCTGCTGCCTGCAGACAGTTTGTTTGCTTTCTCCTGTGCAAACCCTGCACCCTCCACACGTCGGAGTTCGTTAGCATTGACAGAAGTGGAATCGGATATTGGTTACCATTTGCACCCCCCACGCGACGGCCGCCAATTGCTGCAGACTACGCGGCAGACTACACTCTTCACCTAAATACAGCATGCGCCCGGTCGTTATGAAAGTTGACAAAATTGCAGATATAATGATTGGGCGTGTTCGGTGGTGGACAAGAGACGAGCACTCGTGCAGAAAGAAGCCGTGGGGCGGACTGGTAATTTGGATCTTTGACGTAGTATTGTACACTGCAAGATTAGGTGCAAAACTCCTAAAAACTACACCAATTCCAGTTAGGAAAAATTGAAGAGAATGGTATAGTCCTGCTACAGATCAGAGTTGCTATAATACCCTTACAGCCAAACATTGAAGATCGCTGATTAGCAATTTGTAGTTACAAGCGGACGATGCCCGCCGCAGATGCCGCAGGGATTAAGAGTGGGGGGGGGGGGAACACACACACACACACACAAACACACACACACACACACACACACACACACACACACACACACACACACACACACACACACTTAGCTACGACTCTATGAGAGGGGATCTTCTGCTAGAGCAGAGAAAGGTACACCACCATACCAGTTGGGTCATACTATGAACGGGGTGGCATTATGTCGGCTTGCAGTATTATATGGCCCACACGATGCTATTTGGGCTGGTGGTACTACGTGAGGGGGCTGGCACCGTGCATGCCAGCCCATACTACGCCCCCCCAAAAAAAAAGAAAAGTCGAGTGCTAATAGACAGACCTGAGTTTTGAGTCCTAATAGACTAATAGGCAGACCTGAGTTTTGAGTCCTAATAGACTAATAGTGACCAGGGCGACTCAAAAGTTCAAAATCCAAAACAATGAGAATGAATTTTCTAATCCAACATGAAAAGATGCACCGCAATAATTTTGGTCGATTGTGCACGTCTTTCCAGCCAATTCGGCGTGCTATGCTATGTACTTGTATTCAAACATGCCAAGGAGGATGGCCCGTGCGCGAGGGGGACATGCATAAATAGAGTCTGCAGTGGGGATGGAGGGTAATCTACAATCCGGATGAACAGTTGCTAGCAGCAGATCGGCACCATTGGATGGACAATCGATACATTGGGGGGGGAGAGCCAAGAAGAATGGCCCCTCCACAAGGGTGACATGCATAAATCGAGTCTGCAGTAGAGATGGAAGCTAATCCAGAATCTGGATGAACAGTTGCCGGCAGAAGATCAGCACCATTGGATGGACAATCAATACATGTGTGTGTGTGTGTGTGTGTGTGTGTGTGTGTGAAAGAGAGGGAGAGAGAGAGAGAGAGAGAGAGAGAGAGCACGAGGAGCTAGGACTGTCCTGGACATACCTGACCATAATTACAGCACAACCTTGGGTGTGTCTGGTTGCAATTACAGCAGGATGTAGATGTGTCTGACCACAATTGCACCAGAACCTCGATTTATCTCAAGTTGGGTTTATTGAACTCTATTCCATTATTCGTTACGGAGTCCATGATTTGGTCGGCATGATCGATGATTATTAATGAGTCTCGCAATGCTGTAATAATGCCTGATTGCTGGCTTTGAACATGTTTAGCTCCTTTGAACTTTTTCACGTCTTGCAAGCAAGCAAGCAAGCTGACGTCTTTAACCATGTTTGCGCCCGCGCTGTGACTAACACTCCACTCCCCCCCCAAAAAAAAAGAGGAAAAAAAGGCACTCCACTCCTGGCAGTAACGAGCCCACTCCTCCGCGCTCTGCAATCCCTCTCCGACCTCATGGTGCACCTATTGTCCGCTCACTCCGTCATGATGCCCCAACCGTGCTTTGCTCGCGCCCTCGCCAAGGGATCACTCGGTTGTCCCTCTACATTCTGAAGCAACGTCTTGTACTGCTTAAAAGAGTCAAAAGTAGAAAACAAGAAAAATTAAAAGCAGGAGTGTGAAATTGAAATGTGGGAAAATGAAGAAAATAGTAAAATATAAAGTTATAAACTAAAGAAAACTCAGGAAGGTTTTCATGCCGGTTGGGCCTGCACGGCCGGGCGCCTGGGCGTGCAAATATTGCCTTTCTGCGCTCTCCCACAGGACCCCAAATCCGGGCTCGTTTCATTTTTTGAGAGTTGGCTGTCAAGGAGGCGGAAGGGGGGTATACATTGTTTTTAAAGGGGTTAAGAGGGGTTAAAGGGGGGTCCTTTAGTGTGATTTTGTTATTTTCTTTTTTATCTCTGATTCCGTGAGGAATTCTGATGTGACCCTCAGCCAAAAGTTGTTTGTATTGCAATCCTACACAACATGGGGCCGGTTAAGCTTCTCTGTATCATTCCAGCTTCAATGGGTGCCCGGAAGGACCCATTTGGAAAGGTGGCGGGTACAAGTCCTGCACCATCCTACGATCCCTACTGTATTGTTCCAGCTTCAACAGAAGTCTAGAAGCACTTCTAAGCAAGGGTGCGAAGGTTCAATTCCCGCTACCAAAACTTGCTTATCGGAGGGCAATAAGCCTCTTGCATGGAGTGGTTATAAGTGCTGCGCACCCTTCTCTTACTGACTGAGTTCCCAGCGCAATTGGGAAGAATATATCTCTTATTGCACAGATTCCAGGGACCTGCACACCAGTCTGGGCTGGACACCAAGCCAAAACTTGTCTTTTTCTTTTTTTTTAAACCATCCCACACGCTCGGATCTTTTCGGACTTTGAGCAGCCATCAGATCTTTGAAGTTACCGATCGGATGGCCTTTGCACCAAACTAACTGTCATGGGTGCATGGTTAGCCAGTGTACATCAACCCTCACTGGCCTGGCCCCTGTGTGTGGACATTTGGCGTGCTGCACATTCACCTATGGATTTGTGCGGCCTGGCCCCCGTGTGTGGACATTTGGTTTGCGGCACACTCACATAAGGATTTGTGCGCCAGCCCCCATCGCACATTGTACTTCTCTTTAGCACGTGAGGCCTCCCTTGGGGTCGAGGGGTCTTAAATGCATTTTTACTGCCGCTTTAGCGACATTGGCGCGTGTTGTGCTCATGTGCGCGTGCCATCACAGCTACCCGTTTATTCCTCTCGACCATTCAGGTCGAGGGTGCTGGTCATCCTGTGGCAGGCGCGCGGATGCCACCCTCCGACGACCGGTAACTCATGCTCACTGTTCCCCACGTACCAGTTCTGCTTTGCCCGACCCGATGAAATGCGCGGAAATACCGTTCCGACAGTCCCTGCAGATCCTTGATTACAGGGGCATTGTGATGGGACTCTCCTTCCATCTCCAACTCCAACGAGGACCCAGCTTCTACAAGTTCAACACCTCTCTCCTAAAAGAACAATCGCTAGACACGCTGGTAACTGAGTTATGGGCCCACTGGTCAACAAAAAAGACCACAGCCCCATCAATCATGGACTGGTTCAACGTGGGGATTGCCAAGCTTAAGGATTACATTAAGAAGTTTGCCATCAACCTAGCACGACAACGCAAGGAAACACTAGACAAACTGGTACACACATTAGAGGAATGGGACCAGAGATTGCTGGATGGTCCCCTAGACCTGCATACCTTTGGCCACCTCCAACAGGCTAGGGATCACCTACAAGCCTACCTCGGCAGACAGACCGAGGCATTGAGGATCCAGGCTAGGATGAAAAAGGCAGACACGGAAGGCTCAATGTCTCGAACCTTTTTTAACAACGGCAAGAGTAGAGCTAGACAGAACCTGGTGACAAACCGTGACATCACTACATCGTCCCTTCCAACCACGACAGCCTGATGTCACCAATGCCTACGCGGTAGTAGATTATGCAGCACAATACTACCAAAATCTGTTCACATCAAAAACTGGACAATGGGACGAAGATATCCTTGACCGTGCAAGAACAACAATGCTCTACAACTTGCCATCCCTCCTCATGCAACAGCAGAAGGAACTATTAGAAGCACCAATCGACTCTCAGGAAATCGTACAAGCTCTCACAGATATAGAAGACGAGAAAACCCCCGGCCTTGACTCCTTTTCCAAAGAATTTTGGATCCAATATTGGGACCTGCTTAAAATGGATCTGATGGCATACATACATGCAGCCCAGCAGGAGGGGCGCTTTGGGGACCTGATGGGACAGGGAGTTACCACCTTGATCTATGAGAAAGGAGACAGGGCGGCTATCAGAAACTACCGGCCTATTACACTTCTTCCCCTCCCTTACAAAATGGTAGCTAAAGCCTTGGCCGCTTACTACCATTGATGGGAAACCTCATACACATGGAACAGACAGGATTCATGCCTCAACGAAGCATTCAAGACAGCATTCTACTGGTCAATGAAACAATCAAATATGCGAGGCAGAGAGGAGTGGAGGCGGCTATAGTGTTCATAGACTTTGAGAAAGCCTATGATCATGTAGGCTAGGAATTTTTGGAGCTTTGTCTACAAAAAATGAATTG